AGCAGGCCAGGGGCTCTGGTGGCAGGGGGGCAGCAGGGCAGCTCTGGTGGCACAGGATCCATCCTTTTGGGATCTCTTAGAAATCCTGTGTGATTTTCAACATTTACAGGTGGGAAGTTCCTTGAAGAACACCAGTGGGGGCACTTCAGTTCCCACCTCTTCTGCTTCCACACACCCCTCTCCAGCTGCAGCTCCCTTTCCCCGGCAGCAGGAGCCTTCCCTCTGCGTCCTGGCCGACAGCCGCGAGATCTCCTCGGGAGCAGAGGTGATCTCCTCCCTGAAGGCCACGCATGGGGTCAAGGTCCAGGTCTGCTCCCTGAGCAGCAGCGACTACATCGTGAGCAGCCGCGTGGCCGTGGAGAGGAGGTTTCTCTCAGAGCTGCTGAACTCCATGAACAGGAGTAAAGTCACCCAGCGGATCCAGCGCCTGCAAAGCACGTTTGAGAGAGTGTGTGTGATTGTGGAGAAGGACAGGGTGAAGGCAGGTAGGTGCTGGGACAGGCTGGGTGCTGCTGAAGGCCTGGGCTGGCCACACTGGCTGTGTGTGCAGCCCAGACCTGGAAGCAGATAGGAAACCTGTGGTTTGTTCTCTGCACTGTTGCATTCATGAGGTCACCAGCCAAACATGCAAACTTGTTTTGCCCTCGAGGCCCATTTGATCCAGGCAGAGACACATGAGGGGGCCTGCAGGGATGTGTTACCTCATTATTGCTGAAGCAGGGTAGCAGGGTTACTCCATCACTAACTGACCACATTAACCTGCAAAAACCCCAACTTCGAGACAGTTTTCAACAAAAAGATGAGAATAGTGCAGTAAAGGAGCAAGCACAACCTTTTCTATGCTCAGTACTAAAATAATAGTGGACTAAGGAAAATTTCTTTATCTGGCAGTGACCTAAGGAGCAGCATTGGTCAAACTGCAGGAAACTTCCAGGGTTTGGAGCCAGGGAGGGTGGGATTCAGCCCAAGCCCACCACCCCATGTAACGTCTGCGTCCAAACTGCAGAGATCTAACCAGGCAAGGGGGCAAGCAGAAGGTCATCAGCTGAGGAAAATCAGTTTATAGGAGAAAACAAAAGGAGCTTTCCTGCCAAGTTACTTGAGCTGTGCTTGAGCTATTGCCTCGTGCCACAAAGCAGAAAAAAGATGCCTCCTGACTTGATGAAACATTTGTGGACAATTCAAGACCATTTCTTTCATTTATAGAGTTTGGGCAAGCTATTTGTTTTAATCTAAAGATTCAAATTATGCAATCAAACAATTGTACAGGCACTGTCTGCTCTCAGTGCCATCTAAAAAGTAACTGAGAGGTTGTGCTTGCACCTGCTCCCACAGGAGATGGAACTGGAGCTCATGGCTCCAACTGAATTACAGATGTTCTGGGATATAAAACTACAATATCAAAATCAAATTGTTGTGGATGCAGCTTTGTTTTTGTGACATAAATCTAATTTATAGTTCAGATATGGAAACAAATGATTGAAGTGGTCACGGCAGATGTAGCTTGTCAGTGGGGCTGTAGATAAGTGGGTTGTGTTTGAGCTGCCTCTCTGCCTGTTGTTGAAGGGGTTGGTAATTTCCATCGAGTTTGTCTGTTTTTTCCCATCATGCTGTTTCCAGAGTGCTGCTTGTTTCCCATTTGACACAGTATTCAAGTGCATTCTCACCTCTGTAGCTTTAAAACAACCCCTTCTGATTTCTTTGGTCTGTCCCATTGTTCATCCCTTACCATGTGTTCTCAATCATCTCTCCTAGTGACATTTAATTTGCATTTTCAATGTTAACTCCTCATCTCTACCCCTCAACTAAGTAAATCCTTCCAGACCCCTCCTGCCTTTCCATAAAATGTTTCCCCCCATTTTATTGTTGTTCCTGAGTTTGCAGAGCAGAGGATCTTAGAGCCATTTTGCTTGGCAAGTGACTCACACTAGGTTTTTCACACTGATTTCACACTCGGATCCCCCTGGGTTTTCTGCTCTGCAGGAGAAACGTCCCGGTTTTCCCAGAGGACGCAGCACTACGATGGACTGCTCTGTGCCTGGGTCCAGGCTGGGGTCAGGATTCTCTTCAGCTCTGGCCAGGAGGAGACTGCAGGTTTGCTGAAAGCCCTGGCTCTGGTGGAGCACAGGAAGAAGGCTGCCATCCGTGTGCCAACCGAGGTGGAGGGTCACAAGCGGGACATGCTCAACTTCTACCTGAGCATTCCCAACCTCAGCTACCTGGCTGCCCTCAACATGTGCCATCACTTTGACTCCGTGAAGAGGATGGTCAACAGGTAACACCAGAGATGCACAGCAAGTGCTTTGAGGCCTGACCTTCCTTTCACTTCTCTGTCTCACCTGGGATCTCCTGCTGGGCAGTCACTTGGGGAGATCCTCTCTGTGTCTGTTGCTGCCAGGGCTCCCTAGGAACTTTCCTGTCTCCCACTAGGCCTGTTCTTTATGCATTTCTCCATCTGTTCAAGCTGAGCAGACCAAGGCAATGCCAAAGGCTTTGCTCCCCCATCCCTCCTACTGCCCCATGATTTACAGAACCACAGAGTGGTTGTGGTTGGAAGGAACCTCTGGAGATCATCTAGTCCAACCCCCTGCTAGAGCAGGATCCCCTAAAGCAGATCCCACAAGGACAGGGGATGGAGACTCCACAACTTCCCTGGGCAGCCTGTCCCAGGGCTCTGTCACCCTCAGAGTGAAGAAGTATTTTCTCACATTCAGGTTAAACCTGCTATGCACCAGTTTGTGACCATTGCCCCTTGTCCTGTTACTAGGCACCCCTGAGAAGAGTCTGGCCCCACCCTCCTGACACCCCCTGTAGATACTGACCAGCACTGATCAGATCTCTCCTCAGCCTTCCTTCTCTCTTAGCTGAACAGCCCCAGCTCTCCCAGCCCTTTCTCATTTTCCTTCCCCCTTTCATGGCATTCCCTGTTCTTGCTGCTGCTCTTAGGCTTGCTTAGTCTGGTGTGCTCCCAGCCCTTGGGAAGCCAGAGAGGTGACCACCAGCAGCTCTGGTGTTCCCATCGCTCTCCCCTGGACTCTTCCTGCCCATTGGCAGTTTCCCCCTTTTGCCCCAGTGTGCCCTCAGCACTCTGAAGAGCTGCAGCTGAGGTGTCCTCCTGCTGTGTCTCTTGCAGCTCCCCGCTGGACATCGCCAGGGCTGCCCAGGTGAGCCCCCAGAAGGCAGAGGAGATCTACCAGTACCTGCACCACAGCTGTGACCTGCAGCTGCTGCCCGAGGGCCTCTGTGCCAGGGGGAGGCACCAGGCAGCTGCCCAGAGCTGAGAGGACCCCCTGCTCTTCTTTTAACTGCACTTTACTGTTTTGAGTAACTGTACAATATGTAAATAAATCCTTGTGGATACAGCAGGGGTTCCTGGGCATGTTGCACCCACTGCATCCCTCACAGGGGTGAGCACACAGCAGGGCTGGCTCTGCAGGCAGGGCTGGCCTGTGTGCTAGGCATGATCCTTTCAAAGTTTCCTTAAAAATGCAAATATTTGGGCAGAAAGCTTTATGGCTCAGGCAAAAAGGTGGTGACAGAGGAGAAGGAGCCTTCCTGCAGCTACTTGCCAGTTTGGTACCCCTGGTTCCCAGGAAAAAAAAAGAATTGCTAAGTGTTCCTTCCCTGTCTGGCCCAGAGCCCTGAAGGGTATTTACTAAGTTTGAAGTAGAGATGGATGGGCCCAGGGCAGCAAGTTGCCTTGCCCTCAGGTGGTCTCACAGCTGCCCTCTCCTCTTCTGGCCCCAACCCCTGTGACCCTGACTTCACCCTTCCCTCCTGCTGCGGCTGCAGGGGGTGGGGACTCCCCAGGCCCAGCCAGGTGCTGCTGCCGCGCTGTGGCTGCCGTGCCTAACAGCTTGTTTGGATTCTTTCCTCTCCCTTGCTGGTCCATGAGGAGGCTGCACATGAAGAGAGGTTCATCACCTTGCTGCCTCCTGCTGAGGTGTGTGGCTGTAACACGGAGCAGCTCCAGGCTGCTGGCAGCCCTTCACGTCTCTGTAAAATCAGAGAGGGTAAAAAGGTACCAGCCTGGATCACAGGGAGAGTGACTCCTGCTTCTCCCCCCCAGACAGTCTGACCCATACATGAATAAAATAAACTTGTCCTTTTTTATTACATTAAGGAAATGTAAAAACTCATACTCTTAGCAGAGGAAACTAAAAAGCAATTTCATTTACAGACTCTACCACTATACATTTATTGTACAGCCATGCTTCAGAAAGATGTTACCTTAAAATGAATCAGAATTTTCCAGCAGTTGTTATCTGAGCACATGTCTCCCAGGAGAAACAGGGCAGCAGGAAGGAGGAGCCAGCAAAAGTGCCACTTGGTACACATGGAAAAATGACAAACACTGGACAGGCAGCAAGATGAGAGCAGGGATAAAAGACATAAAAACACAGCAGGTCAGGGCTTCCAGCCTGACCTCCTGACAGCACAGAACAGCAGCTCCTGGGGCAGCCAAGCCCTCCACTTCACACCAGCAGAAGTGAGGAGCTGATCAGGTCCCCAGAGTTCATCAAAGGGAGCAGTAGGAATCGGCCTGTTCTTCCTCTGATGAATCTGTTGCCTCCGCTGCAAAGAGCTTCCCCACCCCGGGGCTCTGAGGCCTTTCTGCAACAGCAAAAACCAGGGAGCATCAGTGTGTGTGCCCAGGCTTGAAGCTCCAAAAAGCAAAGGTGTTTGTGAGAAAGACTGTGGAAAACCCATGGAACACCCAGATGGTGGGTACCCAACAAGCCGGGGGTGATGGGAAAGGAAGTGAAGGAGCAGAAACCAGGAATACTCACTTTTCTCAAAACTGAACTTGGTTCTGTGTGACGCTGGTGTCCCGAGCAGCCCTCCAGCCTGGCAGAAAGGACAGAGAGCACAGCAACCTCAGTAGGGGCTCAGCCTTGCACTGGAGTTTACCCACCCTCTCACTATGCCACATGGTCACTTTAAACTGCTCAGCTACTGCAGGTGCTTTCACTGAACTGGAGGCAAAAGCCATTTTTCTGCTGCTGGGATCTCAGCTTTC